TCGTACATACGCGTTCGCTTGCTTTAAAGTATGCTGTACTAGGCTATCTCAAAGCCTTCTGCTTTCTACGCACTTCTTGTTGTGTTCTTCCTTGGGGGCTCGCACGAGGCGTAGTAAGACGTCGAATATCGCAGTCTTGGCCACCCTTACAACACTTGCAATCTGCAGTCGATTGTGCGTTTATTGGCAGCACGTGTGCTTTTTCTGCTATATCATTCGCCACCCAGCTACGAGCTGCAGGAACTTAGCTGCTGACGTTGTCGTACTAATCAAAAAGTCACACGCAGTCAAGAGCTATAATACTTATATAAGATTAAATTTCACAATTAACAAACACGCCTGTTATTCGACAGCGCAGAGGTCAAGGATGCAACAAAGAGGGACAAGTCTTACTTGACGCGCGTATACGTGCGACGGCAAACGATCTCATCAACTGTCATAACCTAAAAGAGAAAAGGCATCCTTTTACCATCCTTTTACCAGATTGTGTGCGGAGTTCTCGTGAATATTTCGCGGTGGCAAAATGCCAAGAGGAATTAATGAATGAAAGTCTTACTAATGAGCAAACGGAAGATGTTTGAAAATAGGCTTGATTGAGAAAAGTCGTTGAATAAACACACTGCAAGGATTTGTCAGGCTGGTAAGGCCAAAAGTTGAGTCCGATTCTACGACCTAATGCGTGATCTTATTCTCGGGAACGCCTTAGTATGTCGCACTAACTATTAACTCGAGCCAGGACAAGAGTAAGAGTAGGTGAACTGCTTATTAAGATGCGACTATCTACAAATATTACCACGAATTGAAGCGAATCTTCGCATTCCAAGAACGTGTATATTCTGAGGAGAAGAGGGATGATCGAACACTGGAATCATAATTGTATTAGCCTGAGCTTTCGGGCTCCTGCAGGAGCCCATCGTCAGAGAATGGGAGAACAGCAAAAAATTAGGTGGCTGGTTCTGGCGTTGGCACAAAACAGCTGAAATTTTGAAACGGGTAGAAAATCAATAATTGTGTGGTTCGGCCGTCGTCGATCATCCCTCTTCTCCTCAGAACAAATATTATCCTCGTGCAGATAACTTCGCCGAGGGGCAGAATACCCACGACGATGGGATGAATCATACCTGATAAGAGCATAAGTGCTGCATCCCCCTAAAAAGACCTAGCCAGTGAACACATAGGTATTAC